CCCCCCCCCCACGCCGCTCCCCCCTCCCCGCGCCTCCCGGTGAGTTGCCTGCTGGTCCCGGGAGCAGCCCACCCTCCTGCTCCGGGGGTGCAGGGGCCCCATCCAGGCCTGTGCTGTGCTGTGCTGCCCTGCAGAGGCTCCTCGGGCCAGAGGGCGCTGGGCGAGCCCTGCCGGCCACCCCGGGACACGCAACAGGCTGCTCCGCCTGCCCGTCCACCCTCCTCTGCCCCGCTGCCAGGGGCTCTCGGTGGGGCGGGGCATCCCCTTCGGGGCGCCCCCCAGTGCCCTGTGCTGGAGGCAGCCCCCGTTGCACGCGGGTCGCCAGACTCTGGCCCAGCCTTCCCGGGGCGCCCCGCTGCTGTGCCGCTCTCTGGGCCTCAGGCCCTGCGTGGCCTCCATGGCAGGCGCAAAGACACGCAGCACGTCGCCTGGGGAGCCGGCCACTCGCCGTAGGGGAGCAGGGGAGCTGCGGGCCCCTCACCCGGGTCCCCAGGCAAATCCTCCTCCGGAACATTCCACGAGCCCCAGAAACGGTCCGGTGTGGTCAGAGCTGAGGCGAGGCGGGGGAGGTCCCCCCTCTGCACCCAGGTGTCCAGAGGGAACCCGTGGACCACGCAGGGCCCAGAAGGACTGCATGTGGCCTCTGCAGCCCTGCCGCTTGCACGAGGCCGGCCAAGAGGCCGGTCCTCAAGGGCAGCTGTTTGCCCGGCCACGCGCCCTTTGGGTGGGCTGGGCTCGTCACCCCAGCCAGCCGGGGCCGGAGGAGATGGATGTGGCCGCCCGGCACGTGTGCGGTGTCCCGGGCGTGTGGGTGGGCCCCACTTCAGTGGGGTCGGTGCGGGGGGAAGGCCAGCGGGAAGGGCTGGGTGGCCGCAGAGCATCGGGTCCCCGCTGCCGTTTCCCCCGCAGCTCGCGGGGCTGGGCTGGGCGTGGCAGGAGTGTCTCCTGGCCTCCAGCAGGAGACCGTGTGTGGGGGTGCCGCTGTTGCTGCCGTGCCGCGTGGCCCCCCCTCTGCCCGCGAGGGACCGCCGGGGCGGGTGACCTTGTTCCGGCAGCGAGGTGGTTGCGGGCTGCGTGGCGGGGCCGAGCGGGCGTCCCCCCCCCCGTGCGTGCGTGTGTGTGTGCGGCGTGGCCGGCCTCGGGGATGCGCTGGTGCTGGCAGGGCAGGCTGCGGGGGGGGGGGTCGTCCTCGGGCTAATAGCACAGGGAGGGTCTGGGCAGCCAGGCCAAGCCCTGCCTCCTCCGGGCAGCGCTGAGCGGGAGGCCCGGCTCCCCACCCGCCCGCCCCCTTCGCTCTGGCCAGGCCGTGCACGAGGGGCGGGCAGACAGGCAGGCGTGAGCCCCACGGAAGTGCCGCACACGGAAGGGCGCCCGGGCGACTGCGGCCTCCTTCGCGGAGCCCGTCTCCAGCCTGTGCGGTGCAGGGGCGGCCCGAAGGCACCTGGGCTGGCACGGCCGGCTCGGGTGCAAATGGGAAGAGTCGCGGATGTGTGCGGTGGCGGGGTCAGCCAGCTCGCGCTCCCTGTGGCTCGTCGTGCGATTATTCGGTTCAAGCGCTTGCTCCATTTTTGCCAGTAGAGCTCTTTGTACAACAAAATGTACAGGCATTTAACATGACGCAAGCAACCCAAGAGCATCGCGAGCCACCCAGCGCCCTCCGCTGCGGTCCTGGAACTCGTTGGTAAAAATTAGGGGTATTGAAGCACGAGAATAGCACTCAGTGGGAAAGCGCTTCATGTACAGGCTGCAAAGCTGCCTCTGACTGGTGCGCTCAGACGCATTTTCCTCTTCCTCCGCTCCCCCCGCATGCCACGCACACGGACCCACGGGGAGGAACGGTACTTCATGATGCTTGCACGCTGCTTGGTGCATGAACATCCCTCACCGGCACACACCGGGACGGACGCGTGGGAAAGGCGCCCACCGTGCATTGTGGCCCGTGGCTCCCCACGAAGGGGCGGCTGGGGCCCCCCAGAGCCCCCTCTGGAAGCTCCCATTGGCAGTGCTGGTGTTGGCGGGCCCCCATGAATCGGGGGTGGGGGTTGCCTGCGAAGTGAAGTCCAGAGCAAACCGAGCTGCAGGGAAACGCAGCTGAGCCGCGGGGGACTTCCAGGCGGGGCGTCTGTGGCTGAAAGGGGCGGGGGGTGCCCTTTCCGAGGCCGCAAGTCATTCTCCATGGCGTTGGCAGCGCACGCCGTGGAAGGGCTGGCACACCAGACGCGGCCGTGGAGCATTCCTTGCGCATGACACGCACAGTGGGCCAAGCCGGTCTCAGCTGGTGCGCTCCGGGAAGTGGGGCACATGGCTGCCGGGGTGTGCGTCTGTCTCTCTGCCCGTCTCTCTGGCTGGCTGGTGTGCTCTCTCTGTTTGCCATGCACACGCACAGACTGACGGTTGTCCAAACTCCGCGCGTTGAACCACGGACGGAGGGGCTGGCTGCTTGGAAGTCACCAGCGGGGCCCGTGTGGCTCGGCGCATCCGTGGCAGCTCTGTTACTGAGAGACGCCCCGTGCACACGTGCAGGCCGGGGGACTGGCGGGAGCCACCCCGACCTCGGCCACGATCCGGGGGCTTCACAGTCCAAGGGCAGAGTCCGAGCGGCCGCTGCCGCCTTGGGAGAGGTCCGGGCAGGGACCGCCTGAGGCCTCGGCTCCGGAGGGGAAGCAGCCGGCCGGCCGGCCTGGGTGTGTGCGCAGGCGGGTGGAGTGGGGGGCTCGCCACTGCCTGGGGACTGCCCTTCAGGGCTGGGGGCTGTGTGTTTGGGGCAGCCCGAGTCCCTGGCTTCTGCTCGAAGCGCCCACACAGGCGGGTGGCGGCAGACGAGCAAGAGGGAGGTCCTCACCGCTCAGCCGTGGGGAGGCGCCATCGGGGCCAAATGGGATCCATGGCCTGAGTGGGGAGGGGTCCGTCGGTGCTAGGAAGGGCCTCCCGGGAGGCCCCACTGCCTGTGGGGTGCTTGGGCGAGCCAGAGGGCTTCCCTGCCCCTCATCGGCGCTCCCAGGGCGTTTGCCAGGCGACGTGACAGCGGCTGCGGAGGGCGCGTGCTGGAGCGGGGAGGAAGGAAGAGCCGAGCGGATGCGGGAGGGAACAGGCGGCCGCGTCGCCTCTGCCGAGTGGGGGAGCAGAGCTTCCTGGCGCTGGGAAAGACGGAGGCCGTCCGTCCGTCCCCAGGGAGCGCTCCGTTGCCCTGCCTGCTGCTCCCCAGGCTGGCAACCACCCAGAGCTGCGCACCGCACATCCAAAACACGTTCTGGGCGATGCCGCCTGGAGGGGCTGCCGGGGGCCGCAAACCTGCCTCGAGGTCCTCTGTGGTGTACACCGTGGTGGGGTGCAGTGGCGGCGCCGCCTCGCCCACAGAAGCCGCAGCCGTTGCCCTGGGGCACCCGGTTTTGGGGTGCTCAGAGGAGCTGCTCGGGATCCCTTGCAGCTGCACCTGGAGCACTCCTGGCCTGCCCCGGGATGCCGCAGGCAGGGTTTCACTGCATTTGTATCTACCCCACCCCCCCGGAGCACAAGCAGGCTCCCTGCCCCACCTTTCATCCCCACAACAATTCTGCAAGGTAGATTATGCTGGACTGGGGAGGAGCGGCTGGTGGGCTGCAGCTGGAGCAACCTGCTTGCAGCGTGAGGCTCCGCTGCGGGTGATTTCGCTGCAAAGGCGAAGAGAGGCGTGAGGAAGGGCAGACCTGGGGGGCAACGGGGAGACACGAAGCAGCGAAGGCGCTCTCCACTCAGGGCGTTGTCGTGGGCACCAGCGCGGACGGCCTGGGTGGGCTTGGACGAGCTGCAGCAGGAAACTGCCCCTGGCTGTGCTTGCACCCCGGGCCCTGGACTTCCCCTCAAGACATCCAGCCAGTGCCATGCGAAGAGGGTACGCGATCTGTGGGGCCCTTGGCCGGAGACGCACTGCTCTTCCGCATTCCCACATCTGACCTGGGCTTTGCATATAGAAACAGATCTAGTCAGAAGGGGTCTCCCGGGCCATCTAGTCTGACCCCTGGCTCCAGCCGGCTCCGCTCACGACATGCCCACCATGTGGACGTCCAGCCTGTCCTTGATCACCCTCACCCATGGGGCCTCAATGACCTCCCATGGAAGCCCATTCCACACCCTCGGGGTCCTAACCGTCAGGAAGTGCTTCCTGGCATCCAAATGGAACCTCAGTTCCCTGAGCTTTGCTCCATTGGAGCGCGTTCTGCCTTCCTCTGCAGGGGAGAACAGGTCTCTACCTACCTCTGTGTGACACCCCCTCACATACCTGGATGTCGCCAACAGATCCCCTCTGAGTCTCCTCCAGGCTGAAGAGACCCAGTCCCCTCCGTCTCGCCTCATACGGCATCCCCTGCAAACCGGCCACCAACCTCATGGCCCTACGCTGCACTGGCTCCAACCTGGCTATATTTAAACTGTGGAGCTGAGCGTTGTCGGAAGCTGTCCTGGCCGCCCCTTAAGGGCAGAAGACCACCTGGAAACGCTGCATGTTCAGCAGTTAAAGTGGAGCGTTGTGTTGGAGCTTAAAATGGCTGTTTCACAAGCTACAGCTTGGCCTCCTGCAGGTGCCTTGAAAGGCGACACTGGTCAGCGCGAAGTGCCCCCGGGGGCCCTTGAGGCAGCCCCAGGAGAGGAGCCGCCCTTTTAGCACGTGCCCATGAAGCTGAAGGGCGGATCGGGGCCATGTGCATACATGTGGGGGTCCTCGGCATGTGGCGTGTCGGTCCCGAAAGGAGCATGGGTGTGCGCATGGGGTTTGTGCTGCAGGGCGAGGGCGCTGTGTCGGGGGGGGGCATGAGCCTAATGAGCCGCCCCGAGGCGTTGTTGCGATGGGGGCGGCATAGGAATGGTTCAAATAAATACATAACGAGGAGAGGGGCTCGCGCGGCAGGCGAGTTGCTCTCCAATTAAAATGCTTAATCCGCATAAGGCCCTCCCGGCAGGCGGCGAAATGCCAGCGCAGCCCAGGCGAGCGCGGAGGGGCCCCCGCCTTGCAGCCTCCGCCCGGGGGCCCGGGTGGGGCGTGGGGGGAGAGGCCGGGCGCACAGACGGGCATTGTGTGCGCGAAAGCGGGCCGGGCAGCCTCGCCATCGCCATCGTCGCCCCGGGCGCGTGCTGACCTACATACTGCGCACAGGCGGGGAATGTGCAGCGGGGGGTGGGGAGAGCTTGGCCGGGGGGGGCTGCTTGAGGCCTGCCCCCGCCCGTCACTGGGCAGGGGCATTGCGCCCCCCATCACAGCCCCCGCCCCTCTGCCCTGGGCAGTCCCTGCGCAGACCCCCTCGGGCCGGCAGGCGCCGGTCGCTGCTCCCCGAGGGGCACGCGGGGCACGGGCGCTCTCCTTGCCAACAGCCCCCCACCGCAGCCCCCCTGGCGCACAGCGTGCCCTCCCCATCGAGGTTGCCCAGGCAGCTTTGATGGGGAGGCCTGGGGGGGTCTCCTCGGCGCCCGGGGGGCCTGAGGGGTCAGTCCCAGCGATTCCTGGCCTCTGCAGGGTCTTTTCGGGATGCTTTGAGCTATGTCAAACCCAGGTCGAAACATTGCTTTGTCTTCAGGGACATGATGTGTATTCTGTCGCTTGTTTCATGCGTTGCTGGGTGCCGGATGCCTTAGCGTTTTGATCTTCTGTGTTGCATGTTAGTTGTTTAGACTCACAGATCTTCCCTGTAAGGTGCTTTAAGGCAGCCTTCCCCACCTGGGCGCCTTCGGAGGCATTTGGACCGCAGCTCCCAGAGTTCCCATGGAGCAGGCCCACTGGCTGGGAATCCTGGGTGTTGCAGTCCAGACGCGTCTGGCAGGCACACGGTCGGGGGAGGCTGCTTCACCGTGTTTGGTGGAACAGGGAATGAGCGAGCGAGCGAGCGGAGCCCCCTCTGGGATCGCTGCCAGGCCGGATGGGCACGGCCACGGAAGGGGGGCAGGGAGCTCAGGGTCCGGCCTTCCTCCTTGTGAGTCGCCAGGTCGGCTTGGCACCCAAGACAGGCAGTTCTGGCAGGAACCGTGCTTCGTGGTGGAGCTGCAGCAGGCGTGGCCTGTGGATCGCCCAAGGCGAACGCTGCCCCCCCCCCAAATGCTGCTTTAGGGGATTGTGTCTCTGGCGGGTGGAGGATCGGTCCCACCGGACACCACAGGCCTGCCTGGTTAGACTGGAAGGGCGGGGATGCGTGTCCATTGCCGCTGCGGTGCAGGAACAGCGACGGCCCCCCTCGCCCCCTTCGTCCCGTCCTCTGATTTGGCCAGACTCGGCACTGCCGGGCCTTCCTTGCCCTGCCGGCAAAGGCCGCATGCGGCTGAAGGGGGGCCTGGCTGGAGGAAGCCGGCCGCAACTTTGGCCGGGTGCTCTCAGGGCCTGCTGCCCTGTCTGGTGTCCTTCCTCAACGCAGAGGGTGGGGGGCTGTGATGCAGCTCCCCGTTCCAGGCTGGAATCCCGGGCAGCTGCGGAGGGGCCCAGCAGCACCGCTGTCACAGGGAGGGCGACGGAAGGGGTGATGCCGGGCGTGGGAGGCGGTCGCACGCCAGCCGGGGACTGGACAGGCAGCAGGAGGGGGCCGAAGAGAGGTGGGCCTTCCTGTGCTTGGGGTGGGAGCAGCGGGGGGGGCAGAAGGCCCCGGGGCTGGTGCAGGGCACCCCTTTTCCCACCCCTCTCGGGGACTGTCAGCTTTGCCTCGGTCGCACAGAGAGGCAGCCGGCTTGCCCTTGCTGGGCCCGTGCGAACGGGCAGAGGTGTGTGCCCCCGGCAGGCGGGACCCGGCCGTCTTGGGTGGCCGCCGGCCCTCCTCAGTGGGGCTCTGGGCGCACGCGCATGGCTGGGGTCGGCCGGGGGCAGAGGCGGGTTGCTGCTGCAGTGGGTCAGGCGGCGTTTTTGGCGTGTGCTCAGCCCGGGGGCCCCCTGTGCCGCTGGGGCAGTCCTTGCAGCTGCCCAGCCTCAGGGAGGCCCATCCCGGTGTGCCGGCATCAGTGCGCCTCCCGCGAGCCGCGCACCGTGTGTTCCCCGGGCCAGACCACTGCGGGGCTCCGCCCTGGGGTGGCAAGACTCCCGCTCGGCCTCTGCCTTGGGGGCTGGGCGCTGGAGTGAGCCTGACGGCAAAGGTGTGGGGGGCGCAAGCGGAGCGTGCCTTGGCGCGAGAGGGTGGGCCAGGGGTCCTCCGCAGCCCGGCCGGGGCTTGACCCCGAAGCCCGGGACACCAGGCAGGCCCCTCCCGGCGTCCCCACAAATGCGTCACAGCCCCTGAGCGCGGCCTCCGCCTCCTTTCTCCAGGCGATGGAGAGCAAATTGCTGATCGGCGGGCGCAACATCATGGACCACACGAACGAGCAGCAGAAGATGCTGGAGCTGAAGAGACAGGAGATCGCGGAGCAGGTGGGGCGGGCGGGAGCGGCACACCTGGCCGGGGCGGGGCGGGGAGGAAGGTGCAGTGGCCACCCTCCCTCGGCCGAGACGGTCCCTCCCGGGGAGGGGCGCCCGTGCCGGGCGGGGAGTGGGCTGGGTGGGCCCCCCAGGGGCACCGTGGCCACGCTCAGGGGCACTTGTCCGGGTCCCGCAAAACAGAAGCGGCGCGAGCGCGAGATGCAGCAGGCGGTGCTCCTGCGGGACGAGGAGACAATGGAGCTCCGGGAGACGTTCAGCTCCTTGCAGCAGGAAGTGGAGATCAAGACCAAGAAGCTGAAGAAGGTGAGGGGCAGGGAGAGCACCAGCCCCCCTGAGAAGGGGCGGCCCCGGAGGCAGAGGCCGGGCAGGCGGCCGCGAGAAACGAGGGCGGCCTTTGTGCTGGGGTCCCGACGGGGGGCCCCCTCCTCCGCGGTATCTCCCCGATAGCTTCTGTGGAGGGTCGAGGGCGCGATGGGCCCGTCCGGGCCCCAAGGGAATGCTGGCCTCGGGGCGTCGCGTCCCCCCAGCTGCCGGCTGAAGACTCCTGCCGGCGCGGGGGGGGGGAATGACCTGCGGTGCTTCGGGGTGCAAGTCCCATCGTTCCCAGCAGTCGCGGCTAACAGTGAGGGCCGATGGGGCTGCCGCCCAGGAGTGTGCGCTCTTCGTTGTGCACCAGGCGCGGGACGAGGGCCTGGGGGGGGGTGCTCCTGCCCGCGCCCCCAGCGAGCCCCTTTCCCGCCGCGACAGCTTTACACCAAGCTCCAGGCCGTGAAGGCAGAGATCCAGGACCAGCACGAGGAGTACATCCGCGTGCGGCAGGACCTGGAGGAGGCGCAGAACGAGCAGACGCGGGAGCTGAAGCTCAAGTAGGTGGCGCAGCCGGGGGGCGAGTCGAGGGCGCCCGCCTCGTCCCTCCCCAGTCGGGGTGGTGCGGGGAGCGACCTTGAGCCCCTGGTGGGGCTGGCTGGACCCGGCGGCTGCAGGGCAGCCTCTGATGCGGGACGCCGCAGCACGGGGGCTCAGATGGCCCCCTCAGAGCCCCCCCTCGGGGAGAACAAGGTGCTGCGGCCCTGCCATGGGAGCAAGGGGCCTTCAGCGGAGCTCCCTCCGTGGCTCCCAAGCGCCCCCGCCACCCGGGGGCCTGGCTTGGCCTTGCAGTGGGGCTGCCTCTGGATGGGAGGCGGGATGGAAGATTCGGGGGGCGGGGTCGTGGTGCTGCGGCAGAGGGCGGGAGTCCACCGGTGCTTCCGGAGAAGGTCTGCAGGGAGGAGCTGGAGGGGGAGGGTGGCCGGACCCCGAGACGGGCAGGGGCGGCAGAGTGCGCACCTCCACCGGGCTGCGGGTGCCTTTCCCCCCAGTCCCGCCAGTGGGGCACTGGAGCCCCCAAGCTGGAACTCAACTGCAGCCAGAACCCAGGAAGGAGGTGGCGCCGCTGGGAGCAGACGGCGAAATGGACCCGGCGCCCTCGGCCGGGCCCGGCTTCTCTCCCACGCACGGGGCAGTCGGCCGAGCAGCTCACGGGGGCCTCTCTTCCCCTCCCTGGCCCGCCTCGTCTCCGCTGCTCAGGTACCTGATCATCGAGAACTTCATCCCCCCGGAAGAGAAGAACAAGATCATGAACCGGCTCTACTTCGACTGCGAGGAGGACCAGTGGAAGTTCCAGCCGCTGGTGCTGGCTGCAGCGGGGTGAGCCCGGGCCCCAGCCCTGGGGGCACGTCTTCGCGAGGCCGGGGGCGCTCCCCGGCCGCCTCTCAGCCCGGCCCTGCTCAGCCTGGCAGCGGGACGCCGAGGGCCGAGCGAGAGTTGCGGCCGCACGCCTCTCTCCGGGGCGTGTGGCGTGCTCGCCGGGCTGCCCTTGAGCGGATCCACGCGGCCTTGACGCCGAGTTCTCCCCAGCAGCAGAAACAGCAGCAGCAGCGCCGCCGCCACCGGGACCCAGATGAAAAAGCGGCCGACCTCCGCGGTGGGCTACAAGCGGCCAATTAGCCAGCACGCCCGCCTGGCCATGTCAATGGGCTCCCATCCTCGCTACCGGGTGAGCCGAGCGCTTTGGAGGAAGGGGAGGGCCCTTCGTGCGGGGCGGGCAGAGGCTGCTCAGGGCTCAGCTCCCAGAAGGCCCTTCTGGCGTGGCCAGTGGCGAGGAGTGCGGGGAGCTGGAGTCCCGAACGCTGGGAGAGCCGCCTGCGGGCCAGCCGTGCCCCACATGGCCGGCCTGGTAAGCCAGAAGAGCAGCCACAGCCCACACGGGCCGGTTGAGGGATGCCTGTGCCCTGGCCTCAGGACCAGCCGGCACACAATTCTGTCGGCGATTCAGAACAGAAGCACGGGACCCTCCGGGCAGGACAGGAAGCGCAGTCTCTTAAAGGGTGCAGGCCAGAACGGGGCGGCTCACGAGCCCCGTTCAGCCGCAGCGAACAGCCAGGGAGAACGGCCGGCCAAGCAAATGCAGAGCCAGGAGCTGTGTCCCGCGGTCGGCTTCCTGAGCGCTTTCCAGAGGAAGCTCTGAATCAGCATGTAGTTCACTGCATTTCTAGTGCTGCGATCCAAATGCGGCACGAGGAGCGTTCCTTTCCACCCCTGGGTGGCCCCGGTGCAGCGGCAGAACACACACACACGACTGAAGACCCGCTTTCCTTCACGTTTAAGGCTGAATAGCATATTTTGCTTGCTCTAAAGCAGCTCTCGGAACGTGTGCTTTGGATACAAGCGAAACGGGGGGGCCGTGGGGGCAGCCATGCATAGGGAGTGAGCAGGGTGCACGGAGCGCCTCCTGCAGCACAGCCCTCGCAGGCCGCCCTTCGAGGCGAACGGGACCTCGGCCGCCATGAAGTTGCGCGTGACCCCACGGCCTTGTCCCAACGGCGCTCTGCCCAGCACGGGGCGATCCGCCAGGGGCGGCGAGGGAGGGGACACACTCCTGCCGCCACCACGAAGGTGCCGTCCCGACTCCATCGCCACCCTGACTGCAGACAGAGCTTGGGCAAAATCGTAGAGGGGCAGGTGGATGTGCGAAGGCCGTCAGGGCGGCTCCCGGGCCTGTCCGGACTTTCGACTTGGGCCCCCCGGCCACGGGTGGGGGTGAGCGGCAGTCAGTAGATGCAGCACAAACATCTTGGTGGACGCAACGGATGGCCAAGGAAGTAGCAGAGAGCAAATGCTGCCCCGTCTCTCTGACGTTCGGGGTGGTTTTCCTGGCAGCGGGGGTGGGGGTGGGGGAGGCACCTTCTCCCGAAAGCGAACGAGCACGGTCTTGTGAGTGCTCAGCTTCCCACGCTTGGCTCCAGCGGCTCGGGAAAACGACCCCTCGCTCCTTCATCGCCTCCCCCCGCAATCTCGCTGCAGGCCGAGAATATCCTGTTCCTGGAACTCGATGTCTCCCCGCCCGCCGTATTTGAGTTTGAGAGCACCAGAGACCAAAGTGAGCACGACCCCCGCGCGCTGCATCTGGAGAGACTCATGCGGCTGGACAGCCTCCTGGAGCGGCCGGCGGCATCCCAGGTCCGGAAGTCGCGGTCCTGGTGAGTGGGGGCGGGGGCAGCTGGGTCCACATGCGCCACTCTGCGGGCCGGAGCCTGGGTCCTCGCGCTGCCACGGGGGCCGATCCCTCTTGGGGTGGCGAGTCGCCGTGGCTTCGGATCACCCCCGGCATCAGCAGCGCCTCCTTCTGAGGGCCGGTCGCCTGGGGAGCCGAGCCGAGCCGAGCCGAGGGAATCTGTCAGATTCCCAGCCCCAGTCTGGGCAGACTCCACACCCCTAAGCTGACCCCGGGGCAAACAGATCGCGGGCCAAGCGGCCCGTCCTCGTAACTCCCCTCGCCCGAGCTCTTCCTGCATTGTGCCCCAAGATGACGGCAGTTTTGCAGCGATAGGAAGGTGAGTGGCCAAGGCGGAAGGTGCGGGGAGCTGGTCAGGCAAGGCAGTGGGGCAGGCCTCGTGGCCCCGGCCCCACAGCGTGCCCCGGGCGAGGAGGGCGGGTGTCTGCCTGTCTGCGCAGTGCCCAGGCCACCTGGACAGCCAGCTCTGCGGGAAAGGCCAAGGGCGGAGGGCGGACCCCTCACCCGTGGGCTCGGGGGGGGGGATCGGGGGCTGAGCCGCTGGTCCAGAGGACCGCGGATCTGCTCTGCCCTGCTCCACGGTTGCCGGCTTCCTGCAGTGGGCTTTAGCAATCCGGGAGACGCCGGCGAGGAGGAGGGGAAATGTGCCAGCCGCCCCTGCCCTTCCTCTCTGCTCTGCATCCCCCCTCAGGTGCCAGAGTCCGCGCGCCCTGCCAGCTTCGGCGACACACGTGTCCCTCGCCTCCAGCTCACAGAACCCCTGCGCAACGCCGGCTCACGAGTAGCACCCCACCTTCCTTCCTTTCTTCCTTCGCACATGGAGGACTGCGCGCCTTCTCCTACCACCGGCTGCCTCTGAGAACGCGTGGCCCAGGGAGGGCATCCCCTGCACTCCGTCTGTAGCTACTTCTCGTGTGTGTGTGCGTGTGTGCGTGCGTGCGAGCGTGTGTGCGATGGCAGTCCCACTGCTCCGGGGTGTCCCTCTTATTTATTGAACATATTTATTTAGGGTGTGTCTTTGTGGTGATGCGGGGTTCCGAGTGACCGGCGTCCCGGGGGCTGGGGAGCGCGGCCTGCCGGCTTCCCGCCAGCGCTGGGGCGCCCGCACAACGCACAATATTCCTCAGAGACAACTGTCGCTCATTCTTCTTCGTGTCTGTTCCCAGCCCTCCGCTGGGGCGAGGACGAGCTGGACGGTCGGCGCCATTCCAGCAGCAGGCCTCTGCTCCGTCGCGCCAGGACGCCGTGCGTGAGGATGGAGTGGGCGGGCTGGGGCCGGGCCTCAGTTTCCCCTCGTCCCGTATCGGGGACACCGGCCTCCTCTCAGCGGCTGGCCACTGGCCGCAGTGGCACGCAAGCGGCTTGGCGTGGCAAGGGACAGCCTGAGCACCGATGGGGCGGGCAGAGCTGGCGCTGCCACTTGAGACCGGGCTGGGCCAGCCCCCTCTGCCCCCCGCCGTAGGCACAAGCTTGGCCGGGCGGTGGATCTGCGACAGGAGCCGGCTGTTCCCACAGTTGAGCGGCAGGCAGCCGGGGGGCAGGGGAGCGCCCGTTCCCCCAGCAGCTCGAGGGACTGTGCACCTCGACTGGCGCTGGCCGGCCCTGTGATTCCTCGGGCGGGCGGGGGCGGGGGGAGGATGCAGACGTGGTGGCAAGGACTGCCCGGATCCACCTGATGCCAGGAGGGGTGGGTGGAGGAGGAGAGAAAGAGGGTTGAGGTGGGGTGCCCAAAGGATCGTGTGCGGCCCATTCCCCCCCATGTGCGGCTCACTCTGTGTCCTCTGCCCTGCGGTCAGCAGCGTGGCCACCCTTGCTCCTGGCCCTCCAGAAGAAATCTTGCGGCAAGGAGGGCTTTGCTGGGGCAGACTGCCGGCTCGTCCGTGGGCCGGGCCCCTAGTCCGGCCCTGCAGAACAGCCTAGGAGTGCAGCTGCGGCCTGTGCCACAAGCCCACCGTGGCGGAGCTGCCTGCTCGCGCTCGGCCGCCGTGCTTCCTTGCTCTTTCCCACGGGAAGCCCAGAAGCGCCAGGGCGCAGCCGCTGCCAGCTGCCGAGAGAGAGCAGAGAAAGGTGCAAGGACAGCGCATGGGGGGTGGCAGCAGTCCCACGCAGGCCGGATGCAGCTGCTTTCTTTAGCAAGGAAGCGCACTGAAGTTTGTGGCAGCCCAAATGCTCTCCTCAGCCCCGCAGCAACATGGGCTACACGAGGACCGTTCGCCTCCCCACAGCCTGCGAGAGGACGTGGCCGGGGCAGGCCTCCTCTGCAGGGTCTTGCCAGCAGGCCGGCTTCCCTTTGTAGCCTCCTGCCCGCGCGCTCCGCGGCTCTTTCTGCTCCAGTTTACTCCGGGGGGACGCTTCAGACAGCTTGATCACCTTCAGCACTGAGGAGAGCAGCAGTGGAACAAATTCTCACTGGGTCCCGAAAGGAGCTCTGATCTGTGCACAGCGATCAGCGCGCGGAACAAGCGGTGTGCGTCTTCCCCGCTGCCGAGCTGTGCGCCTGTCCTTGTGGTGAAGGAGAGGCACGGAAAGGGACTGGGTGGCTTTGGCGCGGCAGCAGCAGCAGCATGAGCTGTAGGAAGCTCTGGCCGTGAGGCAGGAGCAGCTTCCAGGTGGCGGTGCTGGCAGGGGCTGGCTTGCTGTGCCGTGACCGGCAGGTTGAGAAGGGGGCGTGCTCGGCTCTCCGCGGCCTGCTGCCCATCCTCGGCACCTGTGCTTGTGGCGGCAGCCGGCACGCCAACTGCCCTCGTCCGCCACGCTTTCGCTTGGCCCTGCAGATGCCTGGATTACCGTGGGGGCCGCTGCAAGGGAGACCACCGGAGACCGGCGTGGCCGGGAGCGTGCCGACAGGCGCTGAGGGGGAAGGGCTGTGATGGGTCAGCCAGGGTGGCTCGGGGGCTCACACCCCTCCTGGGGAGCGTGCCTGTCCTGGTCCCACTTCGCCCCCTCCTTCACCCGCCCGGGGGGAAGCTTCCCCCTGCACGGTGCACAGCCCCCTTGCCTCTGACCTCTGGAGCTCCGTGTGGCCCTCGAAGCGTTCCGTGGGGAGCCGGTCTGCCACCGTGCGCATGGAGGGCCGGACTGGGTGGGCTTGGGTCTGATCCAGCAGGGCTGTTCCGAGGTCCTCGTGTTCCGCGCAATGCCGAGGGGAGCTGCTAGGTTTACTTTACAGCACAACAGCCAGGCCGGGCCAGAGGGATCTGAGGCACTTCGCGGCTGGCCAACAGTACGTTGTCGGCCCTTCACACCCACGATCACACTTGCCCAGGCTTCGCCAGGACGGGGCTTCCGGTCTGTTGTCCGCCTTCCCCTGGAGGCCGCTGGAGCGAAGGGCAGGCCGCCTCCCCATCAGCCAAGGCTGGCACCCGCGCCCGGAGCAGCTGCTTCCTGCGTTGCGGCGGGGCGAGATGCTGCCATCGTGGGACACGTGCCGGGAGAGGATGCTTCCCATCCGGCTGCAGCAGGAGCCAGATGCTGGGTGTTGGCCATGTCGTTTCCTCGGATGTCGGCTGGAGCAGCCGGGGGGGGGGGGCACTGCCGGAGTGTTAGCTGCAGCTGCCCCCTCCCCGGCGGCGTGCTCACGAATAGGGGGCTTTCAAGCTGCTTTTGACGCCCAAGTGCCACTCCTGCGCTCGCCACACGCGCATCTCTGCCCGAAGCCCTCTTGCCCTCCGTGTCTCGGCCGCGGCTGCAACGCCCACGACCTCAGGCGGCTGCCCAGCACAAAACCCGAGGGCCGCGGTGCGAGACGCTGTCCTTGGGAGAGACAGGCCGGTCCTGCTGGCGGCAGCATCGCCCCCCCCCCCACGGCAGCTGGGGGTCCCACCGCCCCACTGCAACGACCTCAGATGTGATTTCCGACGTTCCTTGTTCTTTGTATGTTGGCAAGTCTGTGTTTCCGTATGAATGTATGTGGTGGGTACGCGTGTTGTGTGAGTGCGTGTGGGTGTCCCACCCAGGGAAAACTATGGCATTGCTGTCCATGGGGGTGACTGGCAAGGGGGGAACCGAGGGGAAAATGGGGGCGGGATGGCTGGATTGGCAAGGCGGGGCCTCGACCGGGACCAAAATCCTCGTGCCTGTTGCTGTGGTGATCTCCCTTAGGCAGTAAAAGTTGGTGTTTGGTGACCCATGCGTGTTGCTCTGTACATAAGAATATACAGGCTGTATTATGCATAGCTATATTATCCATGCTGTACTGCAGAGGTCTTGTCCTGCACCCCCTCTGGTTCCGGACAGGTGGCTCTTCAGCTCTCTGTAACGTCGCTTCGGTTTGGGCGGACCTGGCCGGCGCCGTGGCAGCACCGCAGCCAGATCTCAGCCATGACAATAAAGGAATGAGCATTGTCGAAAAGGATGCCCGCCTCCTTCCTGTGTGTCTGCAGAGCCTTATACTTGTAGTGGGGGTGGGGGGGACCACACAGCAGACCCACATGAGCAGTCCCCATTTGGGAGCAACGGGGAGCCCAGCCAGCCAATAGGGGTGTCCCACAGGCCTTGGCTGCAGCCCGTTCTGATGCAGCCGTGCCCGATGGCAGCAGCTGTGCCTGACCGCCAAGGAGCCAGTTCTTCAGCCACGATTCTCGGCCTGAGCAATTCAAGCAGGGTGGGGAGGAGTGTTTCCGCTCGCGTGCAAGCGCCTCAACATGAAAAATGACTATTTTGCCTCTGTTCCCCGCAAAGCAGGACGGGGGAGATCCGCATAGGAGATTGGATGAGGCCGGGGACTTAGGGGCACAGATTAGAGTCACCCCCCTTGAAATCGAGCAGCTCCTCAGGGCATTGGACATTACAAAGGCGCCAGGCCCTGACGGGTTGCACCCGAGAGGACTTAGAGAGTTGGCAGGGGTTCTCTCACGCCCGCTGGCCTCCATTTTTGAGGCCTCGTGGAGAATGGGTGAAGTTCCAGAGGACTGGAGGGTGGCATCTGTGGTCCCAATTTTCAAAGAGGGTAGTAGAAGGGACATGGGGAATTATAGACCAGTTAGCCTTGCGTCCATTGTAGGAAAAACAGTGGAAAGGCTCAGAGAGAGATCTAGTGATGCTAGATAGGGAAGGGAGGCTGGCAGCCACACAACATGGCTTCCGCAAAAACAGGTCCTGCCAGACAAACCTTGTGGAATTCTATGACAAGGTTTCGATGGCTAGATGGAGGGGATGCAGTGGATGATGGTTTACCTGGATTTCAGCAAGGCCTTTGACAAAGTGCCCCATGATATCCTGGTGGAGAAACTGAGGAGTTTTGGGATACACCAAAGCACTGTCCGCTGGATTAGGGCATGGTTGACTGAAAGCAGAGGGTAACCATGAGCGGGGAATCATCAGATGGCAGCCAGTGACAAGTGGGGTCCCCCAGGGCTCTGTCCTGGGGCTGAGCCTGTTTAATCTTTTCATCAATGACCTGGAAGAAGGGGTGAACAGTCTGCTGATCAAATTCGCAGACGACACTAAAACTTGGGCAGTGGCCACAACTAAGGAGCAGGTACTCCAGATCCAAAAGGACCTGGACAGACTATGGAAGTGGGCAGGAGACAACAGGATGGCATTCAATGTGGACAAGTTCAAGGTCTTGCATTTGGGGCATAGGAATAGCTGTCATAAGTACAGGTTAGGGGACAAGTGGCTGGAGAGCAGCACTTGTGAAAGGGATCTTGGGGTGCTGGTGACTGCAGGCTGAACATGAGCCAGCAGTGTGATGCGGTGGCCAAGAGGGTGAACGCCACCCTTGGTTGCATAGCCAGAAGTGTGGCTTCTGGATCAAGAGAGGTATTACTGCCACTCTACACGACTCTGGTGCGCCCGCAACTGGAGTATTGCGCTCAGTTTTGGGCCCCTCATTATAGAAAGGATATAGCCAGGTTGGAGTCAGTGCAGCGCAGGACCACAAGGTTGGTGGCCGGT